CCTATGAGATCTGTGTCGTTAAATAACCAATAATGTGCTACATTGATGTGCACCTTCCACATTTTTATTCATGACCTGGTGTCTATAGAAAGACAGAACTGAATATTGTGACCTGTGCCTGCCTCAAATTCACTTAACTGTGAAATAAGGCGGGGGAAGGAGAAGGTTCTTTGTTCTTTGAACAGTTCAGAGAATCTGAACTTTTATAAACAGTATATTCTTAAAATCGGTTAACATAATGACACCTAGATTTACTTTCCTTGGCTCTTCACTACCTTTTACTCTTCTTCCAGTTTTTCTCTTTTATTTTCTGCACTCCTGTTTCCAGTTTTCCCATTTTTGGAAGCATATTTGATGCATAAAAATAGAGATGGAACTCACTGTGTCTGCAGACTTGCTTATTCTGACCTCTTCCTCATGCTCCCCCCAGGCACTGAAGGCGCAGTGTTCGGGCACTCTGTGGAGACGCCTCACATCAGAGCAGAACCATCCCAAGATCTCAGGTAGGTGCTCCCTCTTTCACCTGTGACATAGTTTCCATCACTGTTGATTGTCCTTGATATGTGAAGGACTAAAATAGATTATATACTACATACATGAAGAATGGATATGCCCTAGCTCCATGGTAAATATCAGGTATTTGACTGAGGACAAGAAAACATGAGATACTATTCTAACCTTCTCCATATTTTTCCCTAATATACTGACAATTAATATAAAAATAAATATATCAGATAGGAGGAGTGTGGAAAAAGAAAGGAAAAGGCAGTTGAGAGGATGACCGATAAAAATAGGAATGCTGAAAAATTTGACATCAATAATTAAATATGTGACCTATGTGCGCATAAAGAAAGGGGAGGCAGAGAGAAGAAGAAAGCTATACATGATTTGGGAGTATTATGTAGAGGGAATATAGAAGCAAATGGAAACTAATCAGAAAAAGGCAGAAATTAATTGCCCTGTGTTGGGTTCCTCTGTCTAATACTTCCAAAGAAATAAGCTACTTCCTGACATTGCACTGTTTCTAAGAGGCGCAGTTGTATGTAAAAGTCCTTACTACCCAGAGGATTGTGAGGTATCAACATTATAGGGAATTTTCCCCAGGATAATCACGGCCACTGTTGATAAAAGCTGAAATATTAAAATCTAGTAATGGCTTCATGGGTGTTCTTATTCAATAGATAAATTAAGACTTGGGTTAAAAGATGGTTTACATAATTAATTTCTTTCTTTCTTTTTTTTTTTTTTAAAGATGACCAGTAAGGGGATCTTCACCCTTGACTTGGTGTTGTCAGCACCACGCTCTCCGTATGAAGTTAACAGTAACTCTCCCAAGTGAGCTAACCGGCCATCCCTATATAGGGATCTGAACCTGTGGCCTTGGTGTTCTCAGCACCACACTCTCCCAAGTGAGCCACGGGCCCCCCCTATTAATTTCTTATAAAGTAACTGCATTCCAAAATGCATTTGCTGGTGTATAAAAAAGAAGACAACGGTTATGCTAAGGAAAAAAAAATCACCTTTTAAAAATCAGTTTTAAAGTGGATCAAAATATCAACTTAAGAGACAGAGTCTCTGTCTTAGAAAACACAATAAACATATTAATTTAAAAAAAAATCATAAAGATCAGTGTTCAGCCTTTCCCATTGGATGAGGGGATAAACGCTCAAATGAAAACAGAAAGATAAAGCCGAAAAATTTTAATGCAAAAAAATCTTACAATGTAAATTTTATGAGTAAATTTTCTGCGCATTATAATTCTATGATAAAACTTCCTAAAGAGCTCAGTTTCTCACCAAGTAACACAGATTCAAACAAGCTAGTGAACAATATCAGGAAAAGGTGCCCCTCTACATGTGATCAAGGCATTTTGTACAGGAGCAAAATAATAATTGTTTACTCTATGCAGAAACCTGAGGGATTTAGAAGTGTTGAAGAATGTATGTTAACAGCATCGTATAGTGTCCTATAACCTTGATTTATGGCTCTTTTTCAGCTAGGAATTCAACATCGTTTGTGTAACTATTTATTTTATTCCTCTCCACCTGACAAATTCTAAGTTCCTTTAGAACAGGATCCACATCTTTCTTGCTTATCCTTAGTGCTATAGCAGCCAGCACTATATTTTATATATAACAGGGTGTGATGAATATTTCTTAATTAATTACTGAGATTTAGCAAAACTGAATAACGAAATGTCATATAAGGAATGTGGCAGCAGATGTTATTGTGTTACCAAGACATATGTGAATATCATTGATTCCAATTGTTTGTGGTCTGTTTTAATTCATTCAATAACATTTTAAAAATTACTAAATTCCAGAAGAAACATTTTTTTACTTGTAACACTTTACTTATTAGGTACTCATTTTACAGTTTTTACTATGAAAAGTCTATTGCCAAAAGAGGACTAAGAACCAACTGCTATTTTAATTATCTCTCTGACATGTCACAAAATTCATAAGTGTAAATGTAAATTAAATTATAATTAGTATATAGTGTTTTTGGTTTTTATTTTCTGATTATTCATCATCATTTAAACGTCGAGTTAAGATGAGCTTATTAGCTAGTGCTAAAAGCAGATTGGCAACCTCCAAAATGAGGATTAGTAATTTAAATGCCAAAACTAAAACAGTAACAAAGTACAGTAATGACTGGGGTATTCAGTTACTCATGTGTACACTGAAGATTAAAAGCAGGGGGTCTGAGAAGATATTTTCAAGTCTTGCTGATAATTTTCCTTTCAGGGCAATGAGAAAAACTATTGGGTGAGATTGGTTGGCCAAGTAAATAAAATAGTAATTTGGGAAGTATTGTCTTTGGTTTTCTTATCGTCAAGACTTTAGAAATGAACAGTTCAAAAACGTATTATACGAGGGTGCTTCAAAAATTTCATGGAAAGATTCGTATTATCTTGTGTGTGTGTGTGTGTGTGTGTGATTTTTTGTTTGTTTTTTGGCAGCTGGCCAGTAAAGGGATTGAATTCTGGACCTTGGTGTTAGCAGCACCACAGTCTAACCAAGTGTGCTAACTGGCCAGCCCTCACAGTATCCTTTAATTCTATTTTTCTATGAACTTTTTGATGTACCCTACAGTGTAGGTAGTATTTTGTTGTAGAAATGTAGTGCATTCCTGTAATTTACTTATTCAACAGATGTTTGATGACTATTTAATATGTGTCAACTTCTGTGCTAGTTTTCATTTCCATCTTAAACCTACATGTGTAGAATTTCTTTGATTTCTTATACAATGCAATATAGTTTTGTATTGGGGGGGGTCTCCATTTTAAATGGCTAAAAAAAATGCATGCTGAATAGATGATAAAGACATAATAATATATTTGCCTGGAGTGGCCCAAGTATTAATGTTCTTCCTTTTTTATTTCTTAAGCTAATATATAATTAAATTATTACAGTTCAAAGAGTTTCTGTACTCTATGGTATAAACTGATAAAACTCATTATATAATCTTATCACCCAAAGATTATTTGGATCTGGGATCCATTATTTGTTCCAAGAATAAGAAATGAATCTGAATTTGCAATCAGTAAAATGAATTAATATTTAATAATATAGTTGGCATATTCTTCATCTTTTTCTCCTTCTTGTACAAATGCAATTTAAAACTGAAATGTTTGCAGACTCCAAGTTAATCTCTGGAAACACATAGCAATCATTTGCATCAAACCCATATTCGAGGAAAAGCCACCATTTACTAAGTAGTAAGGATTCTTCCCTGAGACATTTCCTCAACAGAGGGTAAATTATCTTGTTGGTATTTTTCTCCCGATAAAGAAAAAAATTATGATAAAATAATATCTTTCCTTTTCTTTCCTTTCCCTTCCCTTCCCTCCCTCCCTCCTTTACTCCTTCCTTCCTTCTATTCTTTCATTCTGTTTACATATTTATATAGTATTTATTTAGGATTAGTAGCAAATGAGCTTTATGGGAAGCTTATCTTAGCTTGCAACCTTAGGAACACACAACAATTGATCTACAGATTTGATTGATCTAACTTGAAGGAAGCAACCTTGATGGGAGGTATGAGAGGGCAGAAAACAATAAAAATGGAAAGAACAAAAGTGCTGTGATTTGTAACTGGAGAAAACTCACCTTAGTCTGAAGTGATAAGACAGTAGGATTTCTTATATGTTCAGGTCACGGTTTGCATTGATTTTTTTTTTCTTAAAACTCTTTTCCATTCAATTATATATTTATTCCATCGTTGAAACTCAATAATTAATGAGTGCCTCTGTCTTCAGCACTGTTAAATATTTAGCAAGAACAAGATACATGATTCTTAAGTTCCACTTTGCTATTTAGTAATTGCATCTTGCAACTTAGTTGTTTTTTTTTAAGTTTGAATTCTTTTCTCAGAATGTTGAATATTCTTCTAGAGACGTAGGCCATTCATTTTCAAATCTGAAAGTTGCATAACACCTTAAAAACAAAATCTTGTGGCATCTTCATTATATAAACACCATACAAAACAGAACTGCTTTGGGAAAAAAAACGGTGTTAGGGAGACTCGAGTTCAACATTAGTCCCGTATGCTATAATTCCCAGCTATCCACTATGAAACCTAGTATGAAATTCACAGCTATGTTGGCTCTATGCTTTCAAAATGAATATAATTGTAATTTACTAATTCCATTGACTAATCATACAGAAAACCACCAGTTTTGCTGATAAATTGGTTTTCATTTTCAACAGGAATTTTTAGAGACTGTTTTATAATAAAATTAATAATTTAAGTGAATAACCCCACTATAATGTAAGTAAGGTAGTCTATGAAACTCCTCAGTGGAGGCTTGAGAGTTACTATGCAGGAGAGAGGAGACATCGTCTAAGTGTTGACACTGTGTTGCTAAGAGTCTACTTATTAGGTAGTTCTAGAAGGGGATCGAGGTGTAGTCTGATTTACATCCCAAGAGCTGAGTCCAGGACATTTTATAGGAATTCTAGGCTGGTTTGAGAAGTCCAGTGTATCCAGAGAAAACCAGTATGACCTAAATCTTAAGCAGAAAAAAAAACAATCACTACAGTAACTGCATTTTACACTTCTTATGGCTTACAAAATACTTGTACATGTATTTATAAATTGTTTCACACATTATCACATTATAGGAAGGCTCAAAAGTTCTAGAAAAATGCAGGGGCAAGCCCCTTAGCTTCTTCTCACATTGCCATGAGCATATTCATAAGCTTTTTAATGTTTTTTAGCCATTATAGTGTTTTCTCTTTTTGATCTTTGAACATCTATATTAGTAATCTGTTCTATCTTTGACATATTAATGGTATATTTGTTACATACATTGAAAACATTTTCTTACAATGAAACATTAGCCCAAATTTTTTCTGTAAAACAATGTATATTTATATATAAATTAATATATGTTTATAATAAATATACATGCATGCATATATATATATTTTACATAATAAACTTTCTCAATTTTTAATAACTTGCAGGCTTTCTGCTTTGCCTCAAAGATTTCTATTTT